GCGAGGGCGGAAGATGAGGCGAGGGCGGCCGAGGAGGCGAGGGCAGCCGAGGAGGAGACGGCGGCGAGGGAGGCGGAGGCGGCGGCAGCACGGGCGGCAGCAGAGGCAGCCGCTGCAGAGAAGGCCCGTCTAGAGGCAGCGGCCGCCGAGGCTGCACGCGCCGAGACGGAGCGGCGGCAGCTCGAGGAGGCAGCGGCGGCCCGAGTCAAGGCTGAGGAGGAGGAGGCGGCGGCGGCTGCGGAAGCGGAGAGGGCGGCGGAGAGGCGGCGGCTCGAGGCGCAGGAGGCGGCAAGAGCGCTGGCCGCGAGGGAGGCGGAGGAGGAGGCAGCAGCAAGGGCGGAGCGTGAGAGGCGTCTGGCGGCAGCGAAGGCTGCGGAGGAGGCGAGGGCGGCAGAGGAGGCGAGGGCGGCAGAGGAGGCGAAGGCCGCGGAGGAGGCAGCGTGGAGGGCAGAGCAGGAGGCGAGAGCAGCGGAGGCCGCGGCGGCTGTGCGAGCCGAGGAGGAGGAGGCGGCGGCGACGGAGCTGGCGGAGGCGGAAGCTGCGCTCCTGCTGCAGGGTGCGGCACGCGGGGTGCAGGCACGCAACGAGGCGACCCGCCGGCGTGCGCAAAAGGCTCGCGACGACGCGGAGCGCCGCATGAAATCCGCAAAGGCCCGGCTCGCCGCGCAGCAGGCCGCGATAGCGGCGGGTCGCACGGCGGGGCGCGCAACGACCGACGCGCGGTCGGCGCCGGCAACCGACCCTGGCCCGCCGCGCCACGCGCCTCATCAGGCCGGCGAGGCGGCCGTGGCTACGCCGGCGGCCCGCGCGACCGCAGCGCGGCTGTCGCGGGGCGATGGTGCGGCGGCGGGCAGTGCAGTGGAGCTTGGGTCGGACGTGAGCGCGGAGGCCGCCTCGACGCAGCTGCAGGCCAGCGAGGTGGCCGCACGCGAGAGGCAGGCCGAGCGAGAGAGGCAGGCCACCGAGTCGGCGGTGGCGGTCGCGGTGGCGAGCGCGGCCGCCGAGCAGCTGGCGGATGCGTCGGGCGCGGAGACGGTGGAGGCGGCGTCCGATCTGCCTCCGAGCCGGCAAGACGTGGCTTTGGCCGGCGGTGGCGGTTCGGGCAAGGCGCTGGCTGCCGCGAGTGCCGTGGTGATGCAGCGAGCGTGGCGCGGCTACCGCGTGAGGCTGGTGGTGTGGCGCGAGCTCATTGCCTCGGGGACGCAGAAGAAGGTGACGCGGCGCGGCGGCTTTCTCGGCATCTCCAAGGGCAAGGAGAAGGAGCGCGGGCTCCTGCTTCACGACGACTGCCTCGCCTACACGCAAAAGGGCAAAAAGTCGCGCCGCATCCCGCTCGCTCACATCGCCGCCGTCGAGACGCTCAACGAGCCGCACCGCTGGGCGCTCCGCATGCGCGTCGGCGATGACTACGAGTTCAGCGCGAGCTCGCCGCTCTGCCGGGCCGCATGGGTGGGGTGTGTGCGCAGCAACATGCGGGAGCATAGCTGGCGCAGGTGCGGCACCACCCTCTCGTCGCTGCCGCCGCACGTCGCCGCGCTCGCGGACGCGCCCTCTTCTGCTCGCTCGGAGGTGTCCTCGCTCCCGTCGCTCCCCTCGTCGATTTCGGACTCGAGTTGGGGCGGTGCGGGGACACCGCGTTCGGAGGCCGAGGGGCTGCCGTCGCCGCCGCGCGAGGAGAAGCAGAAAAAGGTGGCGAACAGAACACTGTCCTTTCGCCGCGGCCGCAAGTGAGTGGCACGCCTTCAGAAGCCGTGTCGGGGGGGGGGGGGGGGCATGGCTGTTGGAGTGGGATGTTCAGGGCTGCCTTGGTGTGACCCGAGAGATCTCCCCGCCCAATATGGGCGTTTAGGTAAGGGGGGCGCCCCGCGTGTAAATCTTTTGTCGGGCCGGCGCGGGAAAAGCCAAAAGATAGCGCAAACCCATTAGCCATTACTCGTCTAGCTCGACCAGCCGAGGTCCCTCGTCGACGTCATTGTCATTCCCTTGGTCGGCCCCCCGCTCCCCACCCGCGGCCTCGCGTTTTCTCGCCTCCCTTTCAGCCGCGCGCTGGTTTGCGTACTCCGCTGCCGCCTTCGCCTCTGCCTCCGCCTTCTCCTCGGCGGTCATCGGTGGCAGCCCCTTGCCACGCACGAGGTAGCGGAGTGCCACGCGAAACGACTCCAGGCGCAGCACGCGCGAGAATGACGCAACAGAGAAGGTGCCGCCGCTCAAGCCTGCCTCCTTTACTGCCTCGATAGCAAGCATGAGAGAAACGAGAGCCACCGGCTTCCAATAGCGCTCCCACCATGTCCGCAGGTCAGGAATCGGCGCCTCAGCTGAGTTTGGGCCTGCCGCGATTGACTCCGACTCATCGTCAAGGATTGGCGGCACGAGCAAGTCGTCCTCCTAGAGGAAGGAAGAGGAGGTGCATACGACGCAGCTATCTGAGCATCTAGCCTGCGTCCTATATCGCCGCGCAATGTGATATCACTGCAGCGGCATGATTGCAATGGTTGCGCATCTATCTTGGCCGGCCTCGGGGGTCAAGTGGACAAGGAGTTGCGGAAGTCCCACCGAGAGTGCCATCACAAGGAACGACACGCCCGCCAATTCGAGCATGCGACGGGGGCCAAGCATGGTGATTGTCGGGCGTGCCTCGCTCTATCGGTACTCCTGCGGGTAGGTGGTACTCCTGCCGCGCGCCGAAGGTCCGACTCGAGTTTGGTAAATTCAATGGAACCGCGATTGCAGGACGATTGAGATTCGACCGGAGAGCGCGCTCTCCGGTGCGAGTGCGGAGCGGAAGACCGGGAGGCTGGCGACCACGGTCAACATGGCGCAGTCGGACGAGCCTCCCGCTGCCAAGAGCGCGACCGCTGTAGAGCTTGAAGAGCTCACGCAGAGAGGGAGCGTCTCAGGTGCTTCCTCTTCCCTCCGGCAGGCGCTTGATGTGTGTGTGTGTGTGTGTGTGTGTGTGTGTGTGTGTGTGTGTGTGTGTGTGTGTGTGTGTGTGTGTGTGTGTGTGTGTGTGTGTGTGTGTGTGTGTGTGTGTGTGTGTGTGTGTGTGTGTGTGTGTGTGTGTGTGTGTGTGTGTGTGTGTGTGTGTGTGTGTGTGTGTGTGTGTGTGTGTGTGTGTGTGTGTGTGTGTGTGACTGCGACAAGGAACCCCTCCTGTTTCTTATTACAACGAAGGCGCTCTCAAAAAAATACCGGATCGCATGATTCACCCGGGGGGATATCCCCCTCTGGGCGGCGAGCGGCATCGGATGTGCCTCCGCTGCTGCTGCCATCCTCGGCGTTCGCCACGGGTGCTTGGACGACGTTGTCGCGCACTGAACACGCATCCGGCATCCCGGAGCGCACAAGGTCGCCACAAATATCCTTCGATCTCACGAGGCGCGATGGCGCCGCACTGCTAGCTGGCGTCGACACGGCAACGGCGGTCGGCCCCCAAGCGGCAGCCGAGGCGATCTTCGGCGACGTTGCGCTGGCGATTCAAGCGCCGATGCACGTCGGCACCAACAACTTTGGCTTCCGTGGCGGCGTGCCCATCACCAACCTCGACGTACGCCCGCCGCACGTGGACACGATCGCCAACGTGTTCGGCGTCGACGAGGCGCCCGACTACTTTCTGCTGTGCTCACGCGTCACCTCGTCCGACGGCGGCGGCGCGAGCTACCTCACCGATATCCCGGCCGCCATCCAGCGAATGCCTGAGCCGCATCGCACGCGGCTGCCCTCACTCGAGATCGTGCAGACCATCAAGCTCATCGCCGGCTTCGACGAGCTGGCGACCAACCGTTCCAATGCGACGCAGGGTCAGAGCACGGCCGCGGGCCAGGCGCTGAGCGCCGCGAGCGTACTGCATCGCGTCGAGCGCATGGTGCTTCCCAATACACGCGACGCGCACCACGCGTGCTTCCGCTACTCCTCGTGGGCGGACTCGCTGCTCAGCGACGACGGCGCGGCTGCAGACGACGAGAACGCGCCCATCCGCCCCACGCCCTCATCCGCAGATCCACGCTTGGACATGCAGACGGTAGCCGCATACCTGCGCGCCGTGAATGCAGAGACGGACGAGGCTGCACGCTTCCTTCTGCAGCCCGGCGACTGCGCGGTCCGTGACGCCACACCAGCGGCCAAACCCATGCCGTGTACTCCCTAACATGCACACCATCCGTGCATGGCAGGTGATCGACAACTACCGCGCCGCCCATGGGCGGGAGCCCTACGGAGACCTGGGCCGCGCACTGTGGCAGGTGTGGGTCTGGAGCAACGCCTCACTCGCTGTGCCCGACAACCCGGGACCGTCGCGTCGCTGGGTGCGCCACCCGCGTGTGCCGACGCCGCAAAATGACGCGGACGGGCCGGATGGTTCCGCTCAGCAAGCCAAGGCATCGCCAGCATCGCCAGCATCGCCGGAGGCATCGCCGCTGGAGGTGTGCCAGGCCGAGGAGAGAACCGACGCGCCGACGGCTCGTGGCAGAGGCGCGCTGGTGCCGCCCACCGTGGACCTCTCGCCCTTTATGGCGGATGAGGGCGTGGTCCTCGATGGCGCCGATCCCACAGCCGCACAGATGGACGCGGCGAAGGCGATCCACGAGAGCTATACCTCGCACGGCTTCCTGCATGTGCTCAACTTTGGGCTGGATGAGTCGCTTCTGCGCCGCGCCTTTGACGTGTCTTCCCGCCTCTTTGCCATGCCGACGGAAGTCAAGATGACGAGCCTTGCGCGCATCTCGCCGGCCTCGAATGTGGGTTACGCGCCGCTTGCCCTCGAGAAGGCCAATCACTCCCGCCCGCCCGACCTGCGCGAGATGTTTAACGTGCGCAACCCGCGCGAGCACACCAACCGCTTTGATGGCACACCGGAGGGCACCGAGGCCGTCGCGCTCGAGCTGTGGCGCGTGCTGGAGAGGGCCGCACGGCGCTTCAGCCTCGCCCTCGCTCTCGCCCTAGGGCTCGAGCGGGACTACTTTACGCGATCGATGGACAAGATGGACCTGTGCGCATGCCGCTTCAACCACTATCCGCCGATACCAAACGGCGAACCGTCGCGTCCGCGCGAGCCGGGACCGCTGCGGATTGGCGAGCATACCGACTTTGCCGCCTTCACCTTCCTACTGCTCGAGCCCTCGCACGGTGCTCTCGGTCTTCAGGTGCGGCCCGGCAGCGTAGCGAGCGACGTGGGACCGTACGGCGACGGCTGGGTGGATGTGGTGGTGCCGCCGTCGCCGCCGGCATCTGTCGGCGCGATCGTGAACGCTGGCCAGCAGCTTCCGTACTGGACCAATGACCTGTGGAAGGCGACGAGCCATCGCGTCGTGGCGGCGGACGCGGAGGCCGCGAGAGCCGACCGTTACTCGATTGCGTGCTTCTACGACGCTGATAAGGCCGCGCCGGTGAACGTCGACCCGCGCTTCGTGCCCGAGGGCGAGCAGCCGCACTACCCGCCAACCACGGGCCTCGAGTACTTGCTGCGCAAGCTCGCGCGCGCGCAGGGCGCCACCGCGGAGCTGGGAGGCAGGAGGGAGGTCTACGACCACGACATTGCCGTGAGGCGTGACCCGGCCAGCCGGCCGCCGAAGGAGGCATGAGAGCGAGAGGCGTGAGCGTGGAGCAGTCCACACGCCCCCCGCCCCCCTCTCTCGAGGTTCTCGAGGTGGATATCCTTTGGCCGCGCTGGGTAGCGAGGATTGGTGTGACGCGATCCACGCAGGCGTGTTTTCTGGCGGCCGCCGTCAGTGCACGGAGTTGCCCCTTCTCCGACTGCCCCGGCTAGTTCCCGAGGTCGCGCGGGGCTGACCCCTGCGTCCCCCGAGACCTAGCGCGGGTGGGTTGGAGGGGGCTCGCCCCGCTCCTCCCCATCGGGCCGCGTGAGCGGCCACGCCTCGCAGATTCGTTTCTCGCGCCTGGGTCAGGCGCGCGGGGCATCCCCCGGGTCGACCAGCGATCCGAAGAGTGGCCGCTATGCGAGGGAAAGAGCGGGGCCCTTGGGGTACGCCTCGTCCGGCCCCCTCCGAGGGGGGGAGGGAATTGTGGGGTCCCCACGGGCGCCTCAGTTCGGCCCTCCCGAGGGGGGGAGGGGAGCAAGGGGGTGGGGGGGTCGGGGCGGTGCCGGTGGGGAGGGGTCTCGGTTTCGTGTGGCTAATACTTGCCTTTCGGGGAGGGGCCTCAGTTGGAAGGCGAGGCTAGCTCAGCCCTACGTCTTCCCCTCCTCCCCAGAGGCAGCGAGTAGGCCGCGAGAGGAGCACTCGAGAGCGCCTCCGGCTCCGCCCCATTGATTGCCCCGCACACATCGTGTGTGTGGAGACGTTTACCTTAGCCTCTGTCCCAGTCGTTGGTCGGACTGTGTTTCGCCTTCCTATCAATCAAAAGAATAGGGCCAGGACGATTCACGCTAAAAAAGAATTAACCTGCAAGCCAATCGTGTCACGAGACGCTCTCTCCTCCCTTGGGGGAGCCGCCCTCACGGCACGCCTCGAAGCAGCCGGCATCAATGCAGAAATCTAAACTTTGTACGGCCGTCGCCGCCGGCCGCCTCCACCTGCTCAGCAGCTTCTTCGCGTTCCTCGCGGTGCTCAGCACGGGCGGCTCGACCGCGCTCCTTGTCAAGCTTCTGCCGCAGGCGACTGCGCCGCCTTCACCACTCCCGCCGCCGCTCGTGATCGCCGGAGGTTGCGCTCCGCAAAGCTCTGCCCTCGACAACGTCGAGTATGTCGCGGTCGGCTACACCTTCTCGGGAGCGCCGTACTTCCGCGACGCCTCGTCGTCGTACTACATCTACTGGGACCCCGACTGCGATGGCGGCATTTCTGGGGCTGCCCGCTGGATCGTGAATAGTGATATGCCGAGCACTACCGCCTCCAACGACCTCGATGGGGACGGGATATGTAGCTACATGGCCCGCATCGACTCGGACGACTCCTCCTCGCCGCCGCTCGGCACGGCTACCTGGCGGGTTGCATGCGACGGCTCCTGGACGGACAACGATCTGACACTGGCCTCTCTCTCCCCGCCCGCACCGCCCGCACCGCCCGCACCGCCGCCGTGGCCACCGGGGCGCGCCCCGCTGCCGCCGCCCCTCGAGCCGCCCCCGCCGCTGCCACCGGCCGATTGCGATGATGCGGAGCAGACGTGGCGTATCCTTGGCGGGGCCGCCTTTGTAACGGCCTACATCATCTTTGGAGGTTTGGCCTTACTCTTGCCCACGGCATTGCAGCCCAAGCTCTTCCTCGCGCTCTATCTGCAGACTCTTGCCCTCATTATCCTCACCATCCTCGTCGCCTCCCCGTTGGGCTTTTCGTGGCTTGTTCCGGAGCATTGCGACTACGACCTGACATTCTTCATTGTCGTGCCAGTGTGCTGTGAGAGAGGCTTGTATCTTAAGAATTCTTCATTGTCTACGGCACATTTCTTTCGACCTACCCCAGCGCCTCGCCGACGGCTCCCTCCGGCTGCTGCGCGTCGCCTGGCTGCTCGAGCGCCCAACGGACTGGGTGCTACTGCGGGAGCAAGACCTGCCGGAAGAGGCGTTTTGGGCCCCGGCCGACGCGGCCCGCCTGCTGGCCGAAGAGAAGGTCGCTGCGCTCTCCTACAAGTGGCAGGGCCCCTTCAATTCGTCCAAGGGCGGCGGCGACCAGCCAGACGGCAGCCGCTTCCACCTTGGCGAGGTCCTCTCGTATTACCGGGAGGGCCGTCACGCAGAGGAACGGCCCGCCCTGATGTGGGACTTTGCCGCGATACCACAGCACGACCCAATAACGGGCGCGAAGCGTACCGCCGCGGAGACTGATGTGTTCAAGAAGGGGCTCGGCGTGATGAGCAACGCCTACGCCAGCCCGCGCGTCCTCGTGCTGCAGCACCGGCGGATCCCGCTCCATTTGGAGCGCGAGCTGAATGGGATCTATGACGGCGCACCTCCAGCTGACCGCCTCGACCTGATCCCTTACGCCGGCGCCAAGTGCCGCTCGGGATGGTGCACGTTTGAGACGGCGTGCGCGCTGCTGATGACGGAAGGGGGCGGGCACGCGTACGAGCTCGGCGTCGGCCGTGCTCCGGTGACGCGCGGGCGGCTGCCGAGCGTGCAGCAAATGGAGGCGCTCTTTGAGGCCGAGTCGACGCGCTTCATCGGCCGGGCTGATCGCGAGGAGGTGTGCGGCATGTACTTCGCCCTGCGCGAGAAGCTCGAGGAGTATGATGAGGAGAAAAAGAGCATGTTTGTGTTCGTCGCCGACAAGCTGATGACAGACGAGAATCCATGGGGACGAATCCTCTTCTTGATCACCCTTGTCTATGCCCCCCTTCTTTTCTTCAGCCGCATCTTGAGAGACCACCTCGCCGCCGTCCTCTGCTGCCGCCCTCGCGACAGCCTCGACTACACCTTCCACTGGAGCATTCGCAAGCCGCCCTTTCGCCGCAAGCCAGACCCCCCGCTGTCCGAGCTGCCCTCGTGCTTCCTGCCAACCCAACAGGGAGAGCAGGCGCCCAGCGGGTTTGAATCAATGAGCTCGATGTTTGCGAAGGAGAGGCTATCAGAAGAGAGGGCAAGGAAGCTTGAGAGAGAGGAGGGCGTGTCGGAGCTTGAGATGGGAGATCGTGATCGCCCATTATCGGAGCGTGAGCTGTCAGCTGTGAGATATCGGCATGGGGAGATCGACGTGCTACGACACTCCTGCACTTGCCTTAGACGACGGCAGAAATATTTACATATACACACGAGCTAAAGGTGAACGGTACGTAGAGGTAGGCCAAGCACAAGAGACTCAAAGAGATGAGCGCACAGAGAAGGGTGCGCCACCCCGAGTGCCGAGAGGACACCACCGCCTGACCAAGGGCTCTGAGCTCTTGGGCGTCCCCTGGACACTGTCTGCGGACACAGCTGCCTCGCCCTCGCCCTCTCCGCCCTCGGTCACCTGCCGGCGCCCGCCTCGCAGCGGCGCGTCTCGGGGTTGAAGGAGGTGCCTAGAAGGTTCCCAGAAGGCTCCCAGGAGGCTCCTAGAGGGCTCCTAGAAGGGTTGAAGGAGGTGCCGGGGTCGCAGCCGACGACCTGCCGCCGCCTCCGCGCCTTGCCGCCGCTGCCGCCAGCTTGCCCTCCCACAAGCGACGGCCCCTGCGCGATGGCGCCGCTCGCGTCCACAAACGCCTGTTCACAGCTGCAGGCGTGAAGGGGCGCTGCTCACACGAGTGTCACACCGCCGCATGCAGGAGAGTAAAGGCGAAGAAAATTTGGGGGGCTTGCGCGCTTGCGCCCGCAATAAAACCACCCCCGCCTCAACCCGCTCAGGGACGGACGCTTTTCCCCCCTTTCAAAGGCGGTTTCGAAGTTGATGAGACCTCGTCCCCCCCTCTCCAATGAAAAGCGTAAAAAGAGGCGCGGAACAGGCCGGAAGCGCCGCTTGGACGTGGGTCACACAATGGCAACGCTCCAGACGCGCTCTGGTAGCTGCCAATGAAGCCGTAGCCCATCGCGCGCGTGCCGGACGGCCTCTGCACCTCTACTGCAGTGCCCTCCTGCACCGAGCGACGCGTCAAACCTTTGTTGCTGCCCATGACCGCCGGCGGCTCCGAGCTCGGGCGAGCGAGCCCTGGCTGAGCTGAGCCTCTGCGGTCGCAATGCAGCGCTGCGGTCGGTGCAGAGTGGCCGTGCGCGTACGGCGTCGTACGCGCACGGCCGCTCTGCCTCAGTGGCGTGCGGCTTGGGCCAACTGAGGTCGCTCTCCGACCTCGCTCGCCGAGCTCACAACCCGGCGCGAGCCGCATCGAGTGGAAGTTCGACTTCAGCTGCCGCGAGTGGATGGACTGCCTTGTCGAGTGCGAGCAGTTGGGCTCCGCCGGGAGCTTGTGGTGCAACATGTTCTCTGGGGGCCAGCAGACGCAAGCGCGCGAGCGCGTGTTGAAACGGACGCTCCATAGCAACACTCGAGATACACTCGAAGGGGGGCACACGTTTTTTTATTCGGGTTCGGGGCCCAAGAGTACACTCTTGGCGACGAAACCGAAGCGGTTTGGCCCCGGGGTGGTTTTATTGCGCTTTTCATTGATCACGGTGGGAGCCACAGAGGCCGCGCCACGGCAGACTTAGCCCGTGTAAGAGGCTCTCGCTGATCTTAGACCGCGTAAGCACCCCAGCGTGACTAGTCACACTTAGACCCGCCAAGCCTTGAGGCTCAGAACTTAGACTACTACCCAACCAGTATGAACTCTGTGAGATGTCTGAAGTCAAGAGGGCCTCAGTCTGGTGCTAAGTCGATCGCGACGCTAACACACATGCACCCGTGGTGACACTGATAGCTGGTCTGGACCTGACTGGAGAGGGCATCGGCATCACGACGAGGACGACCATCCGCCGCCGCCGGCGCGATTGGCCCACCGCGAAGCGGTGCGTGAGTCCAGTGGAGCGCCACGCCGCGTCAGCGGTTGAAGTGCGCGGTCCAGCGGGACAGGTGCGGCGTGAAAAAGTCGTCGAAGAGGCGCTCGCCGCCCGCCTCCGCGTCCGAGAGCTCGTAGAGGCGGTAGTCTGCCGACGCGTGGCACTCCTCCGCAGACGACAGCCGGCCCGAGCTGCGCGACGCCGAGACGAGCCGCCGCTCCGCGAGCCGCGCCTTGTCCTCCTCGCGCTGCCGCTCGCTCGGGTAGGCGGCGGAGCACGGCAGCGCGACCGCCTCGTTGTAGAGCATCGCCCCGAGGGCGAGGAAGGCGAAGCCGACCAGCTGGAGGGGGTGGAAGCTCTCGCCCGCGAAGGCCAGCCCAAAGGCCCACACGCCAATCGTCCGCATCGAGTCGAGCACCATGCGGTAGGCAGCGCTGGCCTAAGGTTGCGTGGGCCCGCGCCGGTGCGTGCGGTGAGTGATCGGTCGGGGGGGGGCTAGGGGCGCGGCCCGCCGTCTTTGTGATTGTGACGCCGATCGCGTTGAAGACCGCAATCGAGCATGCGTTGGCGACGAGGAAGGCGAGCACGCGCGGGCTGTTGTGGATCTGGGCGAGCGCGTCGATGGTATCCTCTACCGGGTGGCCGTGCGCGCCCGGCGTGTGCTGCGGCCGAGCAGGCGGGGCCGCAGCGTCAGAGAGGGGCGGCGTGAGAGAGGTGGGTCGCAGGGGCGGTGTCAGAGAGATAGAGAGAGAGAGAGAGCGAGAGAGGAGGGGGGGGGGGAGAGAGGTGACAGAGAGAGAGAGAGAGAGAGAGAGAGGGGGGGTGGAGGGGGGGAGGGAGGGAGGGAGAGAGGTGACAGAGAAAGACAGGCGGTATCAGAGAGAGGCGCAGTCAAGAGGTGAGAGAGAAGAGAGGGGCAGCGTCGGTGGGTAATTTGGTGCTGGCGGCGGGACAGGTGTGGCCAAGTGGCCAGAGCTGGCGGCCGGGCGAAGTGCTGTCCAGAGAGTCTGTGTGCGGGGTGTGGAGGGAGAAGACGGCGCCTGCAGCACGGCGAGGAGGACGAAGAGGCCGAAGAGGCCCCACAGGCCCTCGCAGCCGACGGTGAGGAGGGCGGGCATGTCGTGGCCGGTGACGAAGCGCTCCTCGATGCACATCTGTGTCGCGACGAAGAGCTGCGACACCACCACCAGCGCGTCGCCGCGCAGCCGCTGCCAGAGGCCGTGCTCGCCGTCCGCTGGCGAGGCGCCGCCGGCCTCGGCCGGGGCCACTAGCAGCGACGCGTAGCCGACGACGGCGGCGCCGACGCAGACGCTGAAGAGGGCGCACCAGTGGAAGGGCCAGAGGCGCCTCTTGAGGAAGAGGGCGGAGAAGAGGCCCGTGAAGAAGACCACCGTGCCGCGCATCATCTGCGGTGCGGCTGGCGGCGGTGACGGCGGCGGCTGGGGGCCGCGGTTTGAGGGTGGCGGTGACGACGGTTGGAGAGAGAGAGAGAGAGG